TCTGCTGCCAGACATCAATACGTTTACACTCACATCATATACTACTTATAAGTAGCGCGCACCACAAATCAACCTAATAAATGAGGAAAGTTTAATTAGATTTTTTTGTCAAAACTATAGGAACTATTTTAATTTAGCCAAAACAAATTAACTGGTATGCAAATAATCTACACGAAATTGATGTGGTCTTTTATTTTCTAATTAAAAAATGATATTTGGATTAAAATTTTGCGTTCTTGAAAATGAATGAGAACATGTGATGTCGCTTTTTTTTATTGTTCAATTGTCATTGTTTTTTCGTTTGCTTCATTAAATTCAATAATTCAGTGATAATTTAACTTTATTTGAAATGATGTGTAAAATTAAAAACTCAGAGCTAAATTATTTCTTTTTTTGTGGCTAAAACATATGTCAATGTTTTCACTAATACACATTTGAAATCATCAGTCAATCATTGTTAGACCACCATTAGAAACCTGGAAGCACTGGAAGACGGCCGTTTCGTCCTGGTATGGGACTCATCAGCAGTGCGCATCCACGACTCCTGCTCCTCGCAGGATTCGAACCCGGGACATTTGGCATTGTGAGCGAACGCCTAACCATCAGAACACTGGGCCGGCATCCAACGGTGTTAGTGTCTAACTCTGATTGATCTAGGGAACAATGATTGATTGGTGATTTCAAATGCGGAAAAACGCAAACCTCCAAAACTGTGCCCCAAAATATCGTAACCGTGCTCACTAGTGACTAGCTTCGTGAGGGAATTGTCGGAGTTCTAGTTGAGAAGACGTGACCAATGGAGTTCAACCCTGTCGGCTGTAGGCAGTAACTACCAAAGACAAATGGGTGTGGTCGCGCAAAATCCCTAGATCAATCAGAGTTAAACATTAACACTGTTGGATGCCGTCCCAGTGGTCCGATGGTTAGGCGTTCGCACACTATTCCGAAGGTCCCGGGTTCGAATCCTGCGAGGAGCAGGAGTCATGGATGCGCACTGCTGATGAGTCCAATACCAGGACGAAACGGCCGTCTTCCAGTGCTTCCAGGTTTCTAATGGTGGTCTAACAATGATTGATTGATGATTTCAAATGTGTAACAACGCAAACCTCCAAAACTGTGCCCCAAAAGTTTTCATTATTGATAGATTAAAGTGAAGTTGATTAGTACATTATCTTCCTGGATCACTTAACATGCTAAATAACGTGTTCATATTCAAAGTTTAAGTACTAGTTTCGCGTCTCTATATATATGTATATATCAAGATCAAAAATGAAATACAGATATAGACATATATCCTGTGAGATTTAGGAGTCGTGGATACGCACTGCTGATGATTCGCATACCAGGAGGAAACGACCATCCTTGAGTGCCCCCAGGTTGTTGACGGTGGTCTAACACTGATCGATTCATGATTCATGATTCAAAAAGTAACTCAACAGTATCCATAACCTCATAAAGGTCAAGTGCTCGCTCGTGAGAATTGCAGTTCCATATTCTATTTTCCTGAGGTCACGGATGCGCACTGCTGCTTATCAGCATCATAGTTAAACGAAACCGAGGTCCATTGCTTCCAGGTTATTAATAGTAATCTAACAACGATCGACTCATGATTTCAATAAGTTGCTTTAATTAGAAATTGTTTTATTTTGTATGACTTACAAACCATTTCAATGTTTTCAACTTTGAGCGGCAGTCTTCTTCTATCCAGTCTCTCCCATCGACGGCTGATAGCAATGCAATCTAACTGGGTTCAGCGTTGAGTCAGTTTTGAGGTTCGCCATGTCAAAAGATAGGTTACCTTATGTTTAAAATATGGTATTTGCTATAAATTGGCAGTTATCTGAACAGAGTTGCAGTAGATGGTCGTCATTATCGATTATATGAGCAGTGACATCACAAGAACCACCCAGTTGTATTTTCATTTCGCTTAATTTACATACTTGACCAGTAAAGTCAACGAGAGAAATAGCTTACTGCAGTCACAACCTTCTTCGTTCAACAGTACGACTGTTCCCTCAAACCTTACTCTTCTCCAGTTGACCTACTTGACATGGTGAGACCTAAATAAACAGATGTTCCAGCGAAAATAGCTCAGTTGCGACTGCGATAGACAAGCCAGATCACCACCTCCAAGTAGCAGCTACGGTTGGGATCATTTCGGCGTATGCCCTACGCTATGTCAAAAGGATTTAGTCATGGTTATTATATTTAAGTATTGGTAATAGGAAATAGCTGGTCAATCAACTTTTCAACAAATATTTTTTGTTTAAAATTTAGGGTTTCCCTTTACGGAAATAAAATTTCCCAACCTCCATTTTGAGTGTTCACAATTTCGCCAACATGCATCCAGAGCATCAACTTATTGAATAAAACTGAGACTAGTGACAAGTGTAAAAACAGTAGTGATCTGAGAAACGTATTTTAAAAAATAAAAATCTCAATAGAATCCTATAGATTTAATGCAATTTCTTATAGATTGCAACTATACTATGGATCTTTTGACATAGCGTAGGGCATACGCCAAAATGTTCCCGACCGTAGCGGTTACTTGGACGTTGTAACCCGGCTTGTCTGTCGTGACGACCCGACTGAGCTATTTTGACTGAAACATCTGTTGCTTTAAGTCTCGTTATGTCAAGCAGGTCAACTGGAGAACAGTAAGGTTTAAGGGAACAGTCGTACTGTTGAATGAAGAGGGTTGTGACTGCAGTAAGTTATTACTCTCGGTGAAATTGATGGTCAAGTATGTAAATTAAGAAAAAACAAAATACAGCTGGGTGGTTCTTGTGGTGTCTTGGCTCATATAATCGATAATGCCGACTATCTACTGCAACACTTTCCAGATAACCACCAACTTATAGCAAATACCAATTTTAAACATAAGGAAACATATCTTTTGACATGTCGACTCTCAAAATTGACTCGACTCTAAACCCAGTTAGACTACAGCGCTATCAGCCATCGATGGGAGAGGCTCGACAGAAGAAGGCTGACGCTCATTCTGGAGAATGTGTTTACATTCAAATCGTGCTCTAGTACGAGCACAAATGGATGAACGTTAGAAAGACAAAGCAAGGAAACCCTTGTGCGCCTTACTTAACAATAGATTCTTATAGATTTAATGTATTTACTTTAATATTCGCACTATACTGTGAGTCATTTGACATTATTCAATCTATATACCAAAATGATTGGCAGCTCATGTGACATTTTAATCGGTAACACTCCAAATCTATCATCAGTCAAAACAACAAGAAAACCAAACAAGTATTTTGCGCTAATCTGTTGTTTAAATTATAACATATCATATATCTAAATATGCTAAACAAAACCAATTTGATAGAACATTGAGAAGACGTTATCGATCTGAAAAATGTGATTTATTTACGCTATACATTTCGTACAATCTGGTCACACACATACACACTTGTCAAGGCATTTTCTATGAAGATCAATAAAAGGTCAATTGAATAAAAGTTCAAATAGACATAGGGTGATAATTGTAAATAAAGGAGAGAGAAAATTAACGTAATATGAAAAGAATAAGAAGGGGTAGGAAAATTGTCACATTACCCTAGGCTTAAAGATTACCAAGGTAAATTCAAGGTTATGACAAATTGTTTCTGCACACATAAAGGGGGTTTTAATTTTCTAATAGCCAAGGCCTCCATAAACCTCAAAATTCGTCCTTCAACATTTCTATACAATGTTTTGAAGGCTGTCTTGATGTCAATCTTATGCCCTGTCTCAATTATATGTTTTGCGATCGATGAACATGGTTTTCTGTTTCCCACGTTAATCGGCTCATCTGACGTTACCTGATTTTGAAGCCACTTAGGCACATGTTCCATAACCCTTGATTGCAAAGTCCGATTACCCATCCCTATGTATGTGTGTCCACACAAACATGTAAATTGATAAATGCAATTGGATATGATGTATTGATCATTCGAGCAACGTTTAGGTCTGTGTGAAATCATGGACTTAGTCTTTTCAATGATAATCAGTTTAGCAGTGTTGTATGTTTTCTCTATGGCTTATATCACAGTGCACCAACACTGCTGAAATTTAGATACTGTCCAGTCCATGTTGGTTTTCTTATAAGCAGAACACTTTATAGTTCCATTCTCCCTTCGACTCAACAGTATGTCTAAAAAAGGCAATCGATTATTATTTCCTGGTTTTATTATACAAAATACAGAAACTAGTTCATGAATAATTCACTGTAATTGACAAAAAGTTGAAAACATTGAAATGTTTATTAAGTCATACAAAATAAAACAACTTGTAATTAACCAACTTATTTAAATCAGGAGTCGATCGTTGTTAAATTACGATTAAAAACCTGGAATCAATGGACGGCAGTTTCGTTTAACTACGAGACTCATCAGGAGTGTGCGTCTATGACCACACGAATGGAAATAGAATCTGGAACCCTTAGTCCCACGCGTGAACACTTGATATCTAGACCACGGAGCCGGCATCCAACGGTGTTTATGTCTAATTTCAATCAATCCAAGGTATGGCGTAACCTCTTCTGTAGGTAACTGCCTTACACCCAACAAGGTTGAACTCCACTGACCACGACTACTCAATAGAACTTCGAGAATTCTCTCACGTAGCTGGTCACTAGTAAACACATTTTTATGATTTCCTTCCCAGAGTTGTGGAGATTTTCAATGAAACTCATCAACAGCCACAACTCCAGTAAATGAAAATCTTAAAACAATTTCAAAATTTTCGATGTTATGTAATTACAGAGGTTTTCTTCTCACTTCAACTTATCTGCCATTCGACCTCGAGATACTTCATGATTGATGCATTGCCTAACCAAATAGAAATAACTTATCCATGGTTGAATTATCTAAATGAAATCTGTTGTATATTACCAACCAGTTGTTATAGTTGGACAAGGTTATACGATGAATGATAGACAAGTGAAATTCAGTTTAATTTTTCCATTCAATCATTCCCTGACATTGACATGACTTGATTAGGATATGAATTATTTAATAGGAGCTGTCAATGGTGGTGTGTTTCATTTGCATTGGAAACTTTGTAGTAGTGTAGTGAAGGAGAACACAGGTGAGGGCAACCGAATTGTATTTAACCAAAATTACAGAGTTACTCAGTAAAATCGGAAAACCATATCGTCAACCGTTAATTTGCATATCTTCTATCCATCATCAATCTATTGTCTGACATTTCACTTATTCATGCGTTTCATACAAATTCCATTGTGTTTCCACTCTTCTTCCTTTCTTGATCTTCCCCCATCTTCTGCTGCCAGACATTACGTTTACACTCACGTCATATACTACTTATAAGTAGCGCGCGCCACAGTAGTAGTAAAATATGCCAATATAAAATTGTTTATGTATGCATGTCTTATATTATGATTGGAAATAAAAACAGTTGTAGTATAAAATACAAATTAGTTTGATTAAGAATATCTGTTGAGTAGAATAATTTCAGTCTGCATGGGTAGCGGAAATCACCAAATCAAAATATGTAAATGAATCACCTGAGTGACTAAATTGAAATGAACACCGTTTCAACGGAAAACATAAATAGATCGATTGATGATTTCAATCTTCACAACCCCATAATGTAAATTATCTTTTGCTCACTAGTGACTAGCTCCGTGAAGAAGTTTCTAGTGTCAAGTTCTAGTGAGATGGCGTGACCAGTGGAGTTCAAGCCTGTTAGGATGTGAAGCTGTGCTCACCGAAACAGTGGATGACGTTACGCACAACTGTGGATTAATGGAAGCTAGATATTAACACTGTTAGATACTGGTTCAGTGGCGCAGAGGTTAGGTGTTCTCTCTCAAGACCGAAGTTGCTGGCTTCCAATCCCGTCAGTTGCAGGAGTCATGGATGCACACTGCTGATGAGTCGCATACCTTAACAAAACGACACACCAGTGCTTCTAATGTTGGTCTAACAATGATGGTTTCAATAAATTAACTAAACAATGTCCACAACCCTGTCATGCAAAATATAAATAGAGTATTTTCATTTTAAAACATAAATCTGTTATTGCTTTAGATTTGATAACAATTGGTACGTAATTGACTTATATGCAACAGCTGACCTACGTTTTTCTAATTATTTCGCAATCCTCATCCTCAACTCCAAGTTATACAGTTTTACTCCAGAAAACAAAAAATGTTTAGCGATACTACTCGTTTGTTAAATTCAACGAAAGAAGAACATGCCTGTTATTCCCAAAAGAGCAAACGCTCTCCATCATCATTCTCCATCCTTCTCGATTTAGTTCTACCCAGTCGGTGTTCATTTTTCTCATGTCTATCGCCAATATTCGGCAAAATGTGTTCTTTAGCCTTCCTCTTTTCCTTTGGCTATGAGGATTCCAAGTGAAGTGCTTGTCTTTTGACACAGTTGGGTACTTTCCTCAATGTGTATTCTGTCCACTAACTCCAGTGCATCGCACTGATTTCGTGTTGCGCTGGAATCGGGCTTGTTTTCTCTCACAGTAGGCTGCTACTCATGGTGTCTGAAAAAAGGATGATTTCCGCAATCATATATTGAACGAAATACAATTCATTTGACGACATTGTCAATATTGATTAATTGTACATTAATAAAATAGTCTCACTCTATCTCACTCATTATTTTTACACATTTGAAATGATCAGTCAGTCAGTGTTAGATCACCATTAGAAACCTGGATGCACTGAAAGACGGCCGCTTCCTCCTGGTGTAGTGAAGAAGAACACAGGTGAGGGCAACCAAATTGTATTTAACAAAAATTACAGAGTTACACAGTAAATTCGGAAAACCATATCGTAAATCGTTAATTTGCAAATCTTCAATCAATCATCAATCCATTGTCTGACATTTCACTTATTTACGCGTTTCATACAGATTCCATTGTGTTCTAACTCTTCCTTTCTTGATCTTCCCCCATCTTCTGCTGCCAGACATTAATACGTTTACACTCACGTCATATACTACTTATAAGTAGCGCGCATCACACTGGTATCGGACGAAATAAACAGTGTGCATCCACGACTCCTGTACTTCGCAGGATTCGAACCACTAAGAGCTCCGGTCTTGCACGCCAACGCCTAACCCCTCTGGACTACTAAGCCAACCAGTATCCAACGATGTTAATGTCCTACTCTAATTGATATCACTGATTGTTACTGATGTCGCTAACTTTTCTCTCTCTACACTTTTCGTTTCAGATTGTCGTTGTTATTTATTCGATAGTCAATTTCATTCGAATGGTACATTTAAATCACCAAATTATAATATACTACATGGTATTATTGAACAGTATGAATGTATCATTTATATATTCAAAGCGAAATCCAATGAAATTGTACATATTTCATTTGTGAATTTTCATTTGTCACGTTATTTACATCAACAACAACACTATAAAGAATCACAACAAATCATTGATGAGAATAATAGTAATAATAATTTGTAAGTTATTTTACAGTTTTATTTTTTTTAAGAAAAGAGAAAGTTAATTTTTTTTCAGTATTGATCAATGTTAGACCATCATTAGAAACGTGGAAGTACTGAATTGTCGTTTCATCCAGGTATGGTATTCATCAGCAGTGCTCATTCACAACTTCTGCTACTTGCAGGACCTTCAGTCTGTGGTGAGCAATGTATCACTAATTTCGTGACGGTTGGTATCCACCGTATTCTTAGGCTTCGTAATTAGTTCGTCCAGACAAGTGTTACTAAATAGCGTCTGATGGTTTATAAATCAAAATGTGAACTCGAAGTGATGAATACGTTTATTATGGCACACCAAACTTATATCAGCAAACTACAAGCACTCAAAGATGAAATCATCATACGAGCGCTGATAAGCAAGTAAGCAAGCTAATGGATGTAGTGAAGGGGAGAAGGCTTAGTAAGCTAACTCCTAGAGATAAAGCATAACTAAGAATTTATAGTCAGATAAAAATAAGATAGGTATGTAACAAGCGAGATAAGTAAGTACACGAATGAGTGACAAGGTCAACAGGCATGTGGGACAAGTCATGTGAGCTAGACATTGATAGACTGACTACAAGTCTACTAGCAGTAACTACCAAACACAATCGATGAGGAGACGTGGAATTCTTAGATTGATCACAGTTAGACAATAACGCCGTTGGCCACCAGCCAGCCCAGTTGTCTAGAGTTTAAACATTAATGCAAAAACCCGAGGATTCTGGGTTCGAATCCTGCGAATGAGAGTCACACCAGCACAGGACGGCTGTGTTTCAGTGCCTCGAAGTTTCTAATGGTGGTCTGACACTGGTCAATTCATGAGTTGAAAGTGACTCAATAATCTCCACAATTCTAATAAGTTTTTTCATAATAATCGTTTACGTGACTGTGTTATCCTCATTGAAGAAGCTACGCCATCATTATTGGATATAGAATGTTTTTATTATACTGTTTCGGATTCTATAAAAAAACAGACAATCGAGATCATTCAGAAAATGATTTTGTTGAACTGCATTTTACACATTCGAAATCATCATTCAATCATTGTTAGACCACTATTAGAAACCTGAAAGCAATGGAAGACGGCCGTTTCGTCCTGGTATGGAACTCATCAGCAGTGCGCATTCACGACTCCTGCACCTCGCAGGATTCGAACCCGAGACCTTCGGTATTGTGCGCGAACGACTAAAAATCGGACCACTGAGCCGGCATCCAACGGTGTTAATGTCTATCTCTGATTGATCTACAGATTTTGCGCGACCTCACGCATTTTTTCTGTGGAAGGTACTGCCTACACCCGACAGGGTTGAACTCCATCGGTCACTTCTTCTCAACTAGAACTTCGAGAATTTCCTCACGAAACCGCCGTTCAGTGCTTCCGTGTTTCTAATGATGGTCTAACAATGATTGATTGATGATTCCAAATGTGTAAAAACACAAACCTCCAAAACTCTGCCCGAGAACTGCATTTTGTTGTCTACGCAAGAACTTCATATTCAAACACTTAAAAGACAAACCAATAACATGTTTTATGCTAAAGGTTACCGTACCATCACAAACAATACTTACTTACTTACTTACGCCTGTTACCCCCAATGGAGCATAGGCCGCCCACCAGTTTTCTCCAACCAACTCTGTCCTGGGCTTCTCTCTCCAGTTCTGTCCAATGTTTGTTCATTCCTCTCATATCTTTCTCTATTTCTCGGCTTAATGTGTTCCTTTCACAAACAATAATCGATATCAATGAAGAAGCTTACAAATGAAATCAGATATATCAAGTCAGTTATGAATACGAAACTCGATTTCTATGCGATATCTTGATTAACACTGTTCTATGAAAATAGTACAAGAAGTATTTTATGATTTACGATTAATTAATGAAAATGCCTAGAATTTTTGAGATTTTTCTAAGAACGACATTAGAAATCACTTATAATAATAATAATAATAATAATAATAATAATAATAATAATAATAATAATAGTAATAATAATAAGTAGCAATAGTAAGTAGTAGATACATATACTTCATTCGTCATTATGTACTGACTACAAATTTTTCACTAGGAACTTTTTAACACGTAACCGATGGTTAGCGACCTTGAATGACATGGCTCAAAATCGTTTACAATGGCCCAGGTGCATCCATTCTTTGTGTTCTGATAAATCCTATTCTTCTGAATGCTTCATCACCTTTATCTTTCTCTTTCCTAAATTTCTTCCACTGGGTTATACTTCTTGAATCATCTCTTGGAACCCTAATCTCTCCACGATTACTGCTAATACTTCTACTATGTTTACCACGATGGGTTTTTAATTGACAGTTGCATGTTTGTGTTTATGTGGTATGGCAACTTGAACTGATGTACGTACGTACTTACGTACGAAGTTCTACGTTGTTGCTAACTCACTGAATACATCATCGCAGAAAAATAGTTTATCTGTCATTGAGATAATTCATTCGTAATTGCTTCCAA